TGGGCCCAGAGCCAAACTCAGGCCTGCCATAGCACAGGGTCACTCTCCTGTTTGTGCCACTGCAGATGGGCCAAAATTTCTTGTATTTTAAAGCTGTATTGGGGGCAAATATCAATCTTAGTTTGTCTTAAATTGGTCAAATTGATTATATGAAGGGCTGGCCTTTGACGTGAAAATATCAAAAACTTGTATTCTTGACTCCAGTCTGTTCATGCAGAGGGCAGAAGGAGAAATCAGTTATTCCTCCATTTTTTTCCATAATTTTTCCCATAACACTCAAAATTTGGTCATTCAAGTCTAATATATATAATTATAGAAATAATTATTGGTATTATTTTTACCAGTTTTTATACTAATTAATAGATGTTTAAAATACATATTTTAAAATATCTTAACATCATTTGATCCTCACTAATATGTTGAGACTAAAATCAGACAGGCAGGGACCAGCAGGTGGTGTGGTGGTTGCGTTTCTGGAATTCCTTCATGGCTGACCACAGTTCAGGTCCCAAACCTGGTGGCTTGCTTTCTCTCTCTCTCTCTCTCTCTCTCTCTCTCTGGCAAACTCATGTGAATAAAAATAATAAACAAATAAAATTAGTCATTCTTTAAAGAAAAAAACTAAGGCAGGTATCACCTTTCTAATTTTGTAGATGGAAATGAGGCTCTGAGAGGTAAAAGGGCATGTTCAACTTCACATAAAAAGTAATGTGCTCAGCTAGCACTCAAAGCAAGTTTTCTAGCTTCAAGTTAAGAACATTTCGTTCTCATCATCCTGTTCCTCACTGATGGTTAAAATGATCACTACAGAGATGGGCACCTGGACAGACAGTCCTCAGACAATCCAAACCAAGGATCACAGTGCTCATGGCTTTGAAAGTTTTGGAATTTTGGGACCAACAGGTGGTGTAATGACTATGTTGCTGGTCTCCCATGTAGTCCACCATGGTTCGAGTACTGGACTTGGGGGCTTAAACTCACGCCGGGCACATGTGCGTGTGTGCCCAAGATCTTGAGAGGAGAATGGAATAGACGGGATTGTGGCTTGGTCATCCCCATTGGGGAGTGATTTCTTGCTTTCTATCTCTCTGTCTCTCTCTGTCTTTCTGGCAAGCCACATGCACATGCCCTATAGCAAAA